AGCATATTACGGAAAATGTGACCTGTAATTAAATGCTGACAGAGGATCATAAAAGGTTGCTTTATACTAAGTTAGTCCATTGGTCCATCCACCTATGCTTGTTGACACTGAATGGCAGTGACCGTCCGGGGTTCCCGGGAAGAGTTTTCTTGCCCTATCTGCAGTTGCTGGGGATAAAGGCTGGGACATTCTGACATCAGCTTATGTGCATACAGCCTACAGCTGTGGGCTATTGGAACCAGTGAGAATGCTATGTGATTAGGCTTCCTGTAAGCACAGAGGCTGAACATAGAGGCTGGAGACTGCCTTTGCTAGCACCAGTCTCAATGTGCAAGTGTTGAGGCTGAACCAGTGTGCGTACTTCCATTTACTGGCTATAAGTGTGGAGGAGCTTTTGTAGACAGCCTTATGACTCTCTGAATGTGGAATGTGAGCAACTGCCGCAATGAGAGACAGGCTTTCAGGCTGCATTCTTTTCCAGCCATGGCTGGGTATGCCAAGAATTGAACCTGAGATGTTCCAGATGTAAAACATGTGCCTTACCAAAGAGCTGCCATTTATTCCCATGCCCCAAAAGGAGTCCTCCAGTTCACTGTTGCAGTCATGAACATGTAAAAGAGCCTTGTTTTGTTCTTCAGGCTTCCAGGACAAGGGAGAATGATGAGCGGAATTATATCTCTTACCAGGCCCCACCCTACTGTGATACATCAGCCTTCCTAACCCATTCCCCTTCAGATGTTGATGGACTCCCACCAGCCCCAGCCAGCATGGCCATTGGGCAGATATGCTGGGGCTTTAGTCTAAAAACTTTAGTCCTGGGGGTACTGGGTTGAAGAAGGCTGTGATAGTTTATTGAATCATTTCTGTAACTATCTGATGAATGGGAGTAGGAAGCATTTCTGGAGATGGAAAAGGCATCATCAAAGCCTCAAGATATATTGATGTTAGGGCCTTGAACAGATCTATTCTCTCTCTTCCTCAGATATCCCATCTTTTAAAAATAGTTTACAATGCACACACAAATATCCTGTGTTTCAGACTGGCCCATGCCATAGCTCTTTTTGACAGATTCACACAAACTCTGTTCAGGTGTTCTAAATGTCACATGCAATGAGAGAAAGAAGAAAATGAGTGTAGCCCCAGCCTGCCCCACTGTAATCCCACCATTCCGCATGTCTTGGAAAATGATAATCTGGATTAGGAAGGCAATGCTAATTGTGGAATACCCACACACACACACACACACACACACACACACACATTTAGATCCTGATTTTTCTATATTTCTTAATCATTTTTGGGTAGGGAGCAGACTTCCTGCTGCAGATAGTTTCTCTCCAGTCTATGTCCTTCATCCTTGTTGTCTCTCAAGGAATTTTAACTGCATGATGGAAATCAACACTTGAATAAGACTGGGCTTTGTCTGGCCTGTGTCTTTTCCAGAACACTTGTGTGCAAGCTCACTCAGGTGGAAGCGCTTCCCAGGTACTTGGAATTAGGTTTCCAATTGTTTCTTTTTCTCTTTGAGCCGGTCTCTCTCATCTTCCACTTCCCCTTCCGCTCTCCTTCACACACACACACACACACACACACACACACACACACAGAGAGAGAGAGAGAGAGAGAGAGAGAGAGAGAGAGAGTGAGTCAGGGAAAGCCATCATGGATGAATATTTTCATGGTTATTGCAATTTTGACTTATAAAAATTCCAGCCATGCTGTAGTCTCATCATAGCTTGCCATTGCATGTGAACCCATTAGGGATTAACAAGCCACTCATAACCCGAAAACAGCTTTGGGTTCACCCCAGTTGCTTACCATCAGGTACAAACCAGGTCTCTGTGTGGGTGTTTTTAATCTACCTTTGTTAGCAAGCTGAACTGGTAAATATCATTCTTCAATGCTCTAAGCTCACAAGTTTATAGCAATCTATTCAATGTTTTTGTGCTTGTTATTTTCAGTGTCATTCTCTTTGAATTCACACTGCTAAATGCTTCCATGTACCTGGGTCATCATCTAGAATATAGAAGCTGTTACCTTAGTTCTGAGTAATTCCAAATCTCTTCCAAAATGGCAGATACTCAGGAACCTTCTATTACAAAGTACCATTGGGATATGTAAACAAAAACAACAAAAACACAGCAATTTATCCTCACAGGAGGGCTCCTTATACACATTATTTTGCCAACCAGTCATGCCTTCTTCTGGATATTAAAAGCTGGAAGGAGATGGAGCACGAAGCTCAAAGCTTTCCGCTTTCCCTTCCCTTCTCCTGTTCTTCCCTTAGCTTTCCATTCCCCCTTTTCAATTGATGGACAATGCGCTATAGCTGCTGATTATGCTCAGTGGGATTTGGGAGATCAATGAGTTTTGTCCCTTTTGATTTGTTTTTGTTTTTTCCTAATGATTATTTGTACTCTGTAACATTCCTCTGAACATGTAATTATCTTCCTTTTGATTCATAGCAATCCTGTTGGGCTACATTGACACTCATCAGCTGCATTTGCTATCAGAAAAAGTGATAGCAAATGCTATTACTTGTTCATTCCTATCAAAAGAGCATTTAGGGTTGCTTACTATTTATTTCTAGTTGAATATAGAGAGCACCTTTGGCATTTAGTTATGTTGCAAACAGGATGCCAGTAAGTCTACAGGTTATTTTTGTAAATCTGCAGAATAACCCATTCCAAGATCTGAACTCATTCATTATTTGCATTCAGTTATAGTGTGTTAACCTCTGGGGAAAGGGAATACTATGAAGGGATAAAATTGTACGTAATGATCTGACTTAAGAAAGGTGAAACTTGTTTTCTGGAAGCCTTGCATCTAATTTAATTATTTTAGTAAAACATGAAATTTATCAACTAGCATTGATATAGAATATGGCATTGTGTGATTTAAATGCCCTTGTTACACTAATAACATCTGAAAGACATTAAATAAACTTTTGGATGTGTGGCATATAATGCACATAACAATGTTTACGTTTTGATTATGGCCATATGTAAATACAATTGCCTTAAGGTAAATAGTGCTAGAAAATTTTATAACATTGGAATTGTAGTGCCCACCCACAAAGCCAGGAAGCACAAGATTCTGGGACCAAATGAATTATTTATTTATTTGCAGCTGTAATGTGTTTATTAATAATTAACTGCATGAATATTCTACTGTGTTCAGAAGTGTGTATTGATTATGAAGTGAAAGCAGCGGACAGCAGCAGCAATATCCCTGAGGGGTTAAAGCAGTTGCTAAGTGGATTATTGGTTGAGGGGAGTGTCTGATTCCCAGGCCATAACTCATGTCAGACCTGACGAGAAAGATCTGAAAGAATGAGCTTTGTAAAGATTCATTGGAGCATAAGTTCGGCACTGTTTCTCCACAAAGGGCAAACGAAAGAACTGTGTCCAATTGCCTTTAGGGAGTGGGAAGCCTGTTAGGGAAATAACTATGGCTTTCTATTCCTGATGTATTTCACACTTGTGATAATTCATAGGAAGCCTGATGATGCTTTGTTGTGATGTTCCCTTGTCCTTACATGCCCAGAACATGTGGCCTCTTTGTTCCACAATGATGAGGTATATGTCAGCTTGTGCTCCTGATCATGGAAGGAAGTTTGCGTCAAGGTGGTAAAATATGTTGACAGTACATTGGAATTTTCAGACAAGAACAAGAAAAAAGGAAGCAGTAATTACAAGCAGTGGTTTGCTCTATGCACTTCCTATTACGTAGCACAGGGATGTAGAAATTATTTCAGCTGAGATCATACTGGTCACATTCTAGTGGTGGGTGGTGAAAAAGGCAAGATTAATGGAACCAAAATATCAAAAGTACCAGAATATTTTAGTTTAATTATCTAACTTTCAGAACTGGGATGGGGAATTGAGTGGAAAGACTGCACAAATGCTAGGAAAGCACCAGCTGATAAATAGTTTGTAGAAAAAGGCATAGCCATTCAGTGGATCCCAAATACATCAGATCTTTCCCCAAGCCAGGGAGTTCTGCATACTTGCTTTAGCTTCTGAATAGATATTATATATTAACGCATATGTATATATGTATATGTATTTATTCTAATATTCCTCTACCCCTTTCCTCTGTGGCCCATTCTATGATCCTAGCATATTTAAATGGAGGCTTCTTCTGTTGAAATCAATAGGACTTACTTTCAAGTAAATATATTCAGGAGTAAGGCCCATGAGCAATTAAGTGACAAATGTTGCTTTATCCATGAATAGTTGCTCTAATTTAGTCTGATCCCTTGGAATCAAGGATAAAATATATTCTGATAAATTAGTTGAGACTAAAGAATCATTACCTCCTAAAGAGTGATTACCTAATGCACTTCTGGAGTGCTAATATTGTACCTGTATCCTGGATACCTAAAGTCTAGGGAGATTACATTTAACTTTGCTATACTAGGAAGTTGTAGCTGTTGCACTGCCTCAGATATCACATGGCTCACCTTAGCCTGGTATTTTCTTACTGACAGTGCTCAGTAAGAAATTTGCAGAATTTGGTTGCTTGACACTGATTTCTGATTCATAATTGCTTAACAGTGGCAACAATTAAAAATGACTCATCTCCCACCTAAAGTCAAGTGATCTTTGGGTAACTAAGAGTGGATTTGTGTATGAAAAGATTGAATTCCATTCAGTTCTAGCAATCAGAGCAAATTCATGTACTCAAGTGCATTCTTGTTTAATCAGGCTCCAGCTGGTATATCTCAGGGTTCTAGTAAAAAAAAAAAGTAGATACTGTAAGCCTGAAGTCTGCTCATGGCTGCAATAAATCATTATGTAGCTAATCAATTATTGCTATTCCTTAATACACCATGTGTTAAGGAAACTTTTAGAATGAGATGGCATTCTTAAATCATATAATCTACCAACTCTACTCTCCCTTAATCCATTCTACATTTTGTAGAGCTTACTTTTTGAGTTGGGTTGACTTTTCTGTGTCTATGTGAGATTGACAGTTCTTATTTAATACATTTACAGGCAAACCTGTCATGATTGTTACTGAATATATGGAAAATGGCTCTTTGGATAGCTTCTTGAGAGTGAGTACCTTATTGATAACATGATGATGATGATGTTCAGTGTTCTGAATGGCATATCAGGCCTGGTCTTTGACAGGGTCTGCCTGAACTTTCAGCACTTCTGCTGGAATTTCATTTTGATTTTATTATGCATTTCTGTTTTTAGTTATTATATTGGTTGCCCAGCACTGCAGAATCTCTAGGCAGGCTACAATTGATCAATTTAAAAGAATTAATACATCTAATATAATCAAAATATGCAATACAATCCAACAACACAGAACTCAGAAATAGAGCAAAGAAAATGGAAATACTACTTACAATCATGTAAATTGTTCATAGAGAATTAACATTCTCTAAAAGAACAATTACATCCATCATAAAAAGGGAATCTGTAATCATCATTTTCACTTATTTTTTATTGATAAATGTCAGCAAGAGAAAGAAAATGGAAGGAAAAAAGTATGGTCACATAGGTTTGAATACCTAAATTTCAGTATGTATGTGTTGAGGGTTCAAATTATTACCAATCTTTAACATATACTAAAAGTGCTGAAAATGTTAAGATGGGGTAAAAAGACCTGAGAATATATGGACTGATACTGACAAGACTTTAACATTAGTTTGATCATAATGGTTTGTAATGTAAGTATGTCTTCTAGAGAAAGACTTAATCCAAGGAAAGAACTGGGAGGAAGTAGAAGGGGAATTGCGAGCAGAGTTTTTACCTTTTTTCCTGTAGCCTCAGTAGACTGCCTAACCCTTCCCTGCAAGGGCAACTGGCCATATACAAAGAGTAAGTTGCTAGGCCTAAGGAGTGGCAGGTATAAAAAAGGAGTAACGACAATTACTATTACTATTGTTATTTATTTACAGTCCACCATCAAGTGCATTTCGCATAAACGAAAAAGGAATCTCAGACTTATTGACATTACGTTTAAAAAGAGGTAAAAAGTAGTAGAATGACTGTTCCATAAGGCAGATATGGAAAACCTTAGACCATATCTTGTCCTCCTTGAAGTGAATCCCTTTGTGCTTCTCCAGAAATCCAAGATTGGTTCCCTCACAACCACCTGTTCTTTGTGGAATTTCTGGCTTTGGTGCAGTGCATTCCTCATTCAAAAATGCTGAAATGCCTTTCCTAGGGCTTACTTACTGATAGTAAGAGCTTTAAGTAAAATATATTTAAATGACATTTTCAGTAATTTTGGCCCCAGTCCTTTTGTCTTTGAACTCATCAAACAGCATCTTGGCATATAAGGGAACCCTTTACATACCTGCCTTAAAGTTGTAACTTTAACTTTCCCTACCCAGTCTATTACTTGTGTATGTCACAATATTGGCATGGCTTGTTGGACAAAGACCAAGATTAGTGATGGGGAGAATTTCCTGTTAAGCTTAATATCAGGTTCCCAGCACAAATATGATTTTACTAACATGGAGAATTCTCAGTCCAAATAGGATCTTATTATACCACCAATGTCTGGGAGTTTGATAGAGTTTGATTCCTTTCACAGCCCACCTCCCCAATTTGGGAGCCAAACCTCCTTCCTATCACCTACCCCTCTACCATGAACCTTCCATCCAGCTGCCTGGCTTGTTGCTCCAGATGTGTTAGAATGGGGCAGGAAAGGGTATTCTCTTTCTCTCTGACACTGAGAAATGCCTCTGGTGTTCTATTGGAGCAACAAAAGGGCAGCAAGGAAATAAATGAAGAAAAGGGTGGAAGGGTGTCCTATAGATGGGAAGAAGGTTTGCTAGCTTGTTTTAAGTACAAAGTGAAAAATAATTAGTAGGGCTATAATGTTCACTTCAGTATAAACTTTAGAGGCTGCTAAAATTAACATTTTTAACCATATATATTGATGCAATCCACAGACACCAGCTATTTTCCATTACTTTCTCAAAGAAATCACATTTACTCTCATAAGGATTTCTTTCCTCCCATGAGAGGTTCTTGAGCAAGCCACCCTCGTTTCCAGCTCAAGTGGAGATTAACAATGTGAGGATCATAAATGATGACTGGAGAACTTTGGTCTCTACTTGGCCTACCATATTTTAATTGTCTCAGAAAGAAAGGGATTTTATTAACTGCTGTCAAAAAAAAAGTTTTCCCCACTCTGACTGCTGGCTGATCATTTAAGAACTTGTTACCAAATGACACAAGCTTTGTCAAAAGGAAAGAGTGAAACAGTATCATCCATACCATGAGTGATAATAGTAAAAGATGGTGTTAAAGTAGAATGTGTCACTCTGAATCCATTATATGTGTGATCTTAGGTTATCAGTCTTCCTGTCTATCCAGTTAACTTGGGAAAGACATCAGATTATTGATAATTAAAGTTTTCAGCAAGATTAGTCATCCACAGTCAATCTTGGGGTGGGGAGATAGAAATATGAAGTGTGTTTATAACTAAAAGAAGGAAGAAAAGGGCAGACAAGATTGCATACATCTTATTTGGAAATACCTAGGACAGTTTTATGTTAAGTGGTTCATTTTGGTGTAGTGGTTTCACAAAGCCATTCCCACTGACTTTTCAAGAATGTGTACATTGTGTACATTGAAGGGCTGAAAGGTTGCTGTAAATGTTTTACAGAAACATGATGCTCAGTTCACAGTCATCCAGCTTGTGGGAATGCTTCGAGGAATTGCATCTGGCATGAAGTACTTGTCAGATATGGGTTACGTCCATCGTGATCTGGCTGCCCGCAACATCCTCATCAATAGTAACCTGGTATGCAAGGTCTCTGACTTTGGACTTTCCCGTGTGCTGGAGGATGATCCAGAAGCTGCCTATACAACAAGGGTAAGTTCAATGATGTTTGGATTATTACTGTAAAAAGTCTGTGAGTCAAGCATAACATGAAGATGGACCAGCTAGGTCATTCAGTGCCTAAAACACCAACAAGCAAATGTTTTTTTTCATTCTGTTTGCAAAAATTCAGTATGACTAAACAAGGAGCATATCCAAGGTAATTTAACACAAATTAGTCATCCTTTTATGCTCTTAAATTATCCTACAAAATTCACCATCACTATGGACAAGGTTATAAAAACACTTGAAATTGTGATATTTTTGTGCTTTTTAAGATGTTTGTTAAGTTAAATGTTCCTTATTTTATCCATTCAGATTTCCTTCAAAAAGGTCAAGGTCCTCCCATGTACCACCACCACACTTTAGAAGTTATCTGTGACAAACAGTTTTGGAATTCCAAAACAATTTAAAAGTTATTTTGGAGTATGATCATTCTTCCTTAACTGTGCAGTCCTATGCATGTGTACTTAGAAGTAATTCCTCTTAAATTCAGTAGGAATTTCCAAATAAGTGCATAGCCTACATTTAGCAAAATTGAGGGGAATTGTTACAAATTCCAGAAAGGGTTCAAATGACACTCAGATCAATACAGGCAAGTGCTCTGTGTGTCTCTGTATTATTCTCATTTATCCTTTAAGACAGCCATGAAAAAGATTTATTTAAACCTGGCAGATGAAATTGAGGTTTATGTGGCTTCCAGCAAAATCATGGAACATCATACCATGTTTCCTACATTTTTCTGACAGTAGTTCTGATAGTTATTAACAGGCAGATATCTTCAGACAATAATTATGTTAGAACATCACACTAAAGCATGGTGACCATAACTAGACTGAGCCACAGCAAATCCTATTTCCATTGTTTCCACTTTTTCAATTGGGTGGAAACATTAACCTTCTTCTCATGGAAGGGCCTGCTTTCCATCAGTAGAAGGACATCTTTGGATCCACCTTTGGATCACTACTCTTTTCAGTATGTCTATTCCAGGTCATTTCTCCCCTTCTGTTAAAGGGCCTTAGACTGATTCTCCCTGATACTGTTGCTAGCCTACACAGCAAAACAGGCATCTGTCTTTGCTCCATATGATAGTATGCATTCAATATGTACATCTTTCCTACGTGGAAAGCAGATTCCATGTATGAATGTTATCACATTTGAAGCAGCCCTTATTTTGATCTCTTAACACTGGGACTAGCACAGAATTTCAGCAGGGCTTTACTTTGAGACATGAGTAACATGCATGTTCCAAAAGACAGCAACATTGAATGTTTTAAGATTTTTTAACAATGAATATATTCTGATCTAATATATTACATCATTGCCATGATATACAATGCTTTCTGCTTGTAGGGAGGCAAGATTCCAATACGATGGACATCTCCAGAAGCTATTGCTTACCGCAAATTTACATCAGCCAGTGATGCATGGAGCTATGGGATTGTTCTTTGGGAAGTGATGTCCTATGGAGAGAGACCATATTGGGAGATGTCCAATCAGGATGTGAGTACATTGTATTACATTCTCAAGCTGTAAGAGGAAAACTCAACAACACAAACCAGTGCACTTTTTAAAGGATTTTATTCTTTTCTATATGCTGCTATTCTAGAAGTAAAAGTTTGAATGTATTTTTTCTGGCTGAAAATATTTTCTTTTTGCTGGGGAGAAATTTAAGCAGATCTGCCAGCCTTTTATGCTTCTTAGCTATATAGACTTTCTGTAAAACATACCATATCACTCACTTGCTTTAGCCTAGATTTATTCCACTTGAGTAATTACAAGTTGCAGAATCTAGCTACTTCTGTACTTGTATTGCAAATGGGACTAAATTTTGTGTGTCGAATTTTATTTCATAAAACAAACATATGGTTAAGAGAGAACCAGGCACTTTTTGTTATTCAATTTTTGTTTTATTTTTGGACCACTGCAGACAGTTTTCTAATCTCTTTTCTGCAGATAAGAGATAGCTATGCTGTCTTCTCTCTCCCATATAAATCCTGCGCTGCTATTCCTTTTCAGCATTAACCATGGTATAATGGCTGCACCAGGATTGATCCACAGTTAAAAGTAACCATGAGTAATGTTAACATCGGGCAAATGTAACTTTCACACCAAAAAGGGAAGGGACAAGAGATTCTTGCAGGAGAGAAAGATGGATTCAAAGCTTCCACTGTGAAGAGATCAGAAAATGCTATGTTGGCCCTGGACCACCTTCTTTGCCCAGTTAATAGTTTTACCTAGCTTGCTGATTTGGAAATAGTTAATTTCATTTCAATTGTTCCTCTTCAAATGAACATTAGAAAGCAGCATTGTTTATGATGTACCGCAGAGTATTTTTTTAATGCTGTCTGCTACTCTTCAGTCATTTTCCTATGGGAATAATAGGAAGCACAACCTCTAGTTGATTTCACACACACAAACCACACAACCACAGCATCTTGGGCCAAAACCCAACAGTACTGGAAATGTGCTTGTTATGGCAATTATTGGCAATCTAGGGTTATTGCTGCTCCATGTACTTGTTAGGCCCTTAACTCATCTGTCAGCGGTCATATAACTCAGACAATCTACAGCCAACTCAGTTGAACAATGCAAAAATATGGATATTTTGGTGTAACTGAATATTTCTAGAATTAGCAACTGTTCTGTCTTCTGCCTATGCCATTTGAGATAGCTCTCTTTCATACGGTTGCTTATAATGGCAAGGAGCACTGCCTCTCTGCAGAAGGAGATGGGATGAATAATTGGCTAGGCTACTAGCTGCCAATGGATACTTTATAGATGAATACTGCCCTCTCTCTGTGAATCATTGAATATGAATATTTATGTACATCCTATTGTTTATACACTTCTGTACATATATATTAGTACTATAGGACTTTGTGTGTCTGTGTCACTAGATACTAAGTGAAATATCATGAAATTAAGGGCCATAGCGCAGTGGTGCAGCACATATTTCACATGCAGAAGACCCCTGCTTGCAACCGGTAGCATCTCAAGGCAGGGTTGAGAAAAATTCCTGCCTGAATCCCTGGAGTTGCTACCTCCCTGTGTAGATAGTACTGTGTTAGAAGGACCAGTATGAGGCATCTTCCTATGTTCCTGTGATCTCAAATAACAATTCCTTCAGGCTTTTGAGGAGGGGGAAATGAATGTACAACAGCAATCCAGATGTTTTCCCTTTGGAGCAATTAAGTTTGTAGTTTAGGAGCTGTATTCAATTGACTTATATTTGGTCTAATCAAATCTGAGCATCAGAGGAAATTGAGTATCACTGTCTTCAAAGACGTATGGGTTATCCATTGGTTCCTCTGTCACCTTCTTGGGTCCTCTGTCACTTCTTTTTGTTAAGTGCTGGATTTGCAGATCAAAAGGAAGACACTCACTTTAGAACAATGAGAAAATAAATGCATTTCTTAACTATGAAGCATGCACAGTTATGCAATGGGTATTACTTGCAAAACCAGAAGGGATATTGTTCCCTCATGTCCTTCAGCTTCTACAATCTTTCTCCTTGTACAGGTAATTAAAGCTGTAGAAGAAGGATATCGCTTGCCACCTCCCATGGACTGCCCAGCTGCCTTGTATCAGTTGATGCTGGACTGTTGGCAAAAAGACAGGAACAACAGACCGAAGTTTGAGCAGATTGTCAGCATCTTGGACAAGCTGATCCGTAATCCCAGCAGTCTAAAAATAATCACCAGTGCGGCTGCAAGGTGACACAATACATTCTACATCTCGCACACTGAACATGAATATGTTTGCCTTTTCCACCTTCAGGAATTATAGTATGTTTGCTCTGTCCACCACTCACTTCCTCGCTTACAACTCTTACTTATTAGCAGCTTGGCTCTGGAAGTCAGGAGAGAAAAACTCCGCTGCTATCTACTTATCTTCTTCTAAGCAAACAGAATACCTGACTGTTTGGGGCAGTACAAAAATCACCTGGCATAGGAGGTACATGAATGCCTAGTTTCAAGAGCATTCCAATTGTGAAGCAACGAGATAGAGATAGTCCACTTCTACAGGAAGCTGTAGATGTTCAGTACATTGGAGATGCTGCAGTTTAAGAAAGTGAGCATTGTCAGAGTAGTGTGGCTTGTTCTCCAGCTGCATGGCCATGCTGAACAAGCACAGAAATGTGAGTGGGAAAAGAATGCATCCTGAATCTCACATTTGATTTTAAAAAGCAAGTTTAATGGCTTGTAAGACATGCAGCTAGGCTTGACAGTAAGATGGCAATGCCTTGCAAAATCCCCAAAATCGGACCATGCAGGGTGATGATAGTAGAGTTAAACGTGATTTCCATTTCTTATATTTGCATGTGGGAATTTTTATACCACTTTTCCACTCCAATGCAAAATGCTTAAAATGGCTAATACCAATTTGAAACATGCCAGGGATTGCACCTAGGATGTTCTACGTGCAAGTGTGTGCTCTGTCTCTGAGCTGCAGCCCTTCCACCATCACCATGGTTAGGCCAAATGTCTGAAAGAGAGAAAAATAGTTTTAATTAGCAACAGAAAGTCCAGAATGACCACACAATTCTCCTGGGTGTGGAGAGCTCCACATTCTGGGTGGCATGCCAGAGTCAACTTCATGTGTCATTTTAATAGACTACATACATTTTTTCCTTATTAGGTTTATGGTTTGCTTTTGGTCATCAGTGTTCTTTTCAATACAAATAGACTTCCTCTTCTAGAATATACTGTTAGAAGTTAAGGACCACAGAATTGTATAACTGAATCATACTTTCTCTGACTTGTCCCCTGCAGTTCCCTCTGGGTGTCTCAGCATGGTTAACTTTTATTTCCCATTAATTCAATCTGTATAATGTCTAGGTTGCTTTTACTTTTTCAGAATGTGTTCATAGTTCATTCAGTTTGATCACTTCCATTATTTTCTAGTTTCACTTATTATTTTTCACCCCCTTGAGATCACTTCATAATTGTGAATATTGGACTCAGTTATTAAACAGATGGAAGGAAACTCGAAGGAGGCAATATGCTGTATTTCAGGGACCACACTGGCAGTGTAAGCTGGTATCAAAAAGCTGTCCTGTCAATAAGCAACAGACCGATCCCCTGTCCATCAACATATATTTGCATGGTTACAAGGGCTTTCGTTTTGATTTGCCAATGTCTGAGTAGGGTTAAAAGAAGATGCAATGGTTGAGGAATATCAGACACAGACAGAAGTGTATGAATCTGTATACTGACCTTCAGTAAATGACCAATATAAATTAGTAGCAAGTTATTAATAACTGAGCTAATTCTTATAATATCAAAAAAGTGGAACCATGCCTTTTGAAATGTCTCCACTTCTTTAGCTGACTGTCAAGTGTACACATTCAATTTGACTTTCCATGTAGAATGAAAATTGCTACCATAAAGTGGTGGAGGAAAGAAGAGCCTGCTGTTGAAGGAGCCTTCAGTTTGGACAGCCTTAGCTACAACCCTGGGTGTTTGTTTAGAGAACTTCTCTGCTGCTGTGCTGTTAAAAATCTTCTTGGAAATGTTGACTTGAAGTGTGGTATAGAAATGGTGAAAACAAACAAACAAACGCACATAGCTACTACTTTGTTAAACTTTACAGTTCCTAGTAACTGTATAAAAATGTGGTTTAAAAAAGAAATGGATGGAGAGATGGAGGGATGGAGGGATAAAAAATAAGCAGAAATATATGCACATTAATAATATATCCACAATAATAAAATGTTTGAATTGATTATATTCTTGAACTACTGATAACCACGAATTATTCACAAAATAAAACCCAAGGATTACTAGCTAGGACAGGTTTAATATAGCATTATTTAATGGTTTCCTGTCTGGAGTTACAGTGAGCTATTTAGAGTGAAATCCTAAAGAGCCTTCACTTGATATATGGAGGGCTCTGATCTTGGAGCTATCTGTCTATCCAAAGCCATATTGGGAAAAGCTGAGCAGAATGGGAGCAGCAGCAGGTGCTTTTACAGCCTTTCCATCCCTTTTTGTAGTATTTTAAGCTGCATGGGCCCCTGAGCCCATCTAGCTTGCTTATCTGGCACTGGACAAGAGTAGGAACAGAGATCTAGGAGGCCCATGTCCTCTACTCTCTTATCATCTTCCAACCCACCAGCAGACTATTTCTGGGGTTATGGCAGTGACCTTTGTTGGTAAGCACTGCAGAAGATGATCTAGTCTACCCTTAGCATAAGGCTAAAGCCCGCAATCAAGATTTTTCCCACCCCTAAGATGTTCAAATATCAACATTTCTTCAGTATTTTGTATCCTTAGCTATCCTAACTTTGTTGTCTTTAAGCTTATAATACAGTGGTACCTTGGCTCACAAACACCTCCGTTCATGACCAAATTGGGTTGTGAACAAAAATTCATAAAACTTCTGACTCAGGTTGCGAACTCCGCATTGGGTGGCAACCGCAATCGTGACCATCTCCGCACCCTCCCCCCGAGTGGGGAGATGGCCACAATCGCAGTTGCGTTCATGCAGGGAAGACATGTGTGATCACAGGCACACTTCTGCAGGAAAGATGGGCACGATCTCAGCCATATCCCCCGCCCCAAACTAGCATGATCGTGGCCATATCCCCACTCAGGTTGTGGGGGTGAGATGGCTGCAATCGTGCTGGTTGGTGGGAGGGGCGGTGGCCGAGATCATGCCCTTCTTTCCTGCAGGGGCGCAACTGCGAGCTCAGCCATCCCCCCCCAAGTGCGCCTGCATTTGTACCCGTCTCTCTCCCTCCCCCCCAGTGCACCAGGATGACAGGGGCGATCGCGGTCATGCTGCAGGAATGGGGAGATAGCCATGCTCGTGCTAGGAGTGGGCGGGGAGATGGCTGCGATCTTTGTTGTTCTTTGTCACTTTGCTTCACACTTTTCTGATTAAAAAAAAAGTTACAGAGCAGATTAACCTTATTTACATTGAACCTTATGAGGAAATTTAACTTGGCTCACGACCAATTTGGGTCATGACAAGAGTCCTGGGGCAGATTAAGTTTGTGAGTCAAGGTACCACTGTATATGTTGATGTGTCTTTAACTAGTATTTAGGATTTTAAACTGGATAAATCAGGAGAAAAATATTATGATGCAATGGGCCGTTCTAGTGCAGGGTACAAAATCCAGTGAACAGTGAACAGCATCACACCTGTCCTAGGAACACACTGAGTGACAGATGACACAAGGCAGAAAATTTCAGGCATACTGCATCTGTTTCAGAAATGTTTTACTCAAGGAAAATGAGTTACCTGCCATTCAATAACTGATCCACAAATATTAAGATATCTACAAGTAATGTATTCCCCTTTTATCATTATCATTATTAATAAATTGCATGTACTGCCCATCTTTTTTCCTCATGGAGGGAACCCAAGGCAGCTTATGAGAGTTTTATTCTCTCCATTTTATTCTCACAGCCACTGTGTGAAGTAGGTTAGGCTGAGATTCCATGACTTACTTAAAGTCACTCATTGCTGAGTGGCAACTGGAACCCAGGTCTCCTGAGTCCCAGAGTTCTAATCACTATTTCACACTAGACCTGTTTGAAAATATGTTAATAGCCCATTCCAATACAAAGTTGGGTTTGGGTTACCTATTTGACAAATTAGGGAAAAAAGAGGGAGAAGACATTTTGTTTTGTAGCAGGGCATCCAAAATAGCAGTGAGCATCTAGTTTTGTGAACAGCTGTAGACTGATGCTGAAGCATCAGAATCACAGAGAAACAATCTGAATAGCAGATGTCTGGAACAAATCTAGAGACCAGCTCCCAGTTCTGGCTGTTATTACAGGAAGATTCCACACATACAACAGAATGAGTACAAAGAGGGCCAGGAGGCTCCTCTCCTGCTAACCCTGTTTGGTGTCAGGTTTCCAGATGAGGTTGCTTGCCTAACTGGCAGGGGTCCAGGAAGAACATCTGGAAGCCTAGTGGCATCTCTTGCCGACAATCCGCCCATAATGGGGGAGAAGAGGACACTGTGGAGCTGTATATCCAATAGTGACATAGGATTGGCTGTCTGGAGCTATGTGATTACCAGGACAAGGAAGATTCTGTGCTGTGGTGATGGATCTACCTGGGGATAAAGGAAGTAGGAAATTGGTGCCAGAATGTCAGGGTGCCTGAATGTTACCCCAGTAACATCACGCTGGGGCAGGGAGAGGGGTAAAGGACATCTTATCCCGATCTAGTTCCTTGGTCCCTTTAAACACTCTCTAGTTAGTTGTCATTTACTTTCATTGCAATCAATTGGAGTGAAGTTAGTCATGATTAATGTGACTCGTTGGTTGCAATGAGAATAAAACATTACTGAGTTGGTGGCCATTTGTCCTATTTTGAGTGAAATATGTAGGTGCAGAGGGGAACACGTTTTCTTGGAAGCACTCAACAGCTCTATAGCCAAGATTCTCCTTTTAATCACTTGGAAAGCCTGCTTTTGACTTAAAAACCCCAGTTGATCAGGGTCTATATGTCACAGCTTTAATTTCTTGACAAGTGAGGAGATCCCTATTGGAACTACGGAGTCTGACACAAGTGATGTGTCAAGCTGTCACAATCCACTTTATAATATATGCATAGCCAAAACCTAATGGAGTTCAGCCAGGCCACTGCCTCCAGCTGGGATTGTCCAGTCTCCAAGCAGAGTACTATTCGGGGACACACCCTGGCAATCCCAAGATTTTCCACAGGAACAAGGATTGTATCCGTTCAGTTGACC